TTATATATTAAAATTATCTTTATATATAATCTAAAAATTAATGCTCCGCTGGATTCCACTCCCGCCAGATATTTAAAATTTTGACGGCCTTTTTCAGTGAGTGGGGGTTACTATTTCCGAAATGGCCAAAATACGTCCTGTCATAAACAGTAGCTGCGTTATCTTCGTCCAATTTTTTTCCCTCCATATCCTTGCCGTCCACGTGGCAAAAAATGTTAGGAGGGAACTGGTATTACTAATCTGAAGACAGATTTTCACGTGGCTCCAAATTGCCATAACCTTCTTAGCTGTACTTCTGTTTAAGGTCTTCATAAAGGTCATAGAGATAGAGGTAACATACGATAGAGGCAGAGGGATTTTGTCTGTGTCTTTGATAGCAGCTGTGGCCAAGAATTCTTACCTACAATTCAGCTTGAGGAGGAATTAAGGGCTCAATTCTTTTCACCTCTTCTAATCTTCACTGTAAGTTTTTTGAGGAACATCTTCTCTGTAAGTTTATTAGCTTTTATGATCAGCTTGAACCCTTTTCTTTTTTTTGTACACCATCTGTTTCTAAAATAATTAGAGTTTTTTAATTTTCAATTTCTCACAAATTAATTATTATTTATTAATTTTAATTAATTATCTAATTATAAAAATTTTTATTTTTTATTTTTTTAAAAATAAAAATAATATAAATAAATACAAATAAATTATAAAACAAATAATCTCAAAAGTTTTAATTAAAAAAAAAAAGAAATACCAATTATATTAAAAATCAAAGAAACAATTAACTCTCTGGTTGCCTACATAGAGAATCATAATTAGGGTTTCTTAATGGAGATGCATAAATTAAAAGTGTAATTAATATATTTTAAAATTTTTAATTTATATAAAAAAATAAAAATTAATGTTAATTTTAAATTTAATGTTATTTATATTATTTTAATTAATTAATGAAAATTAAAAGTTAATTTTTATTTTTTAATATAAATTAATTATTAAAATATATACTAATTATCTTAAATCACAGGTCAGAAAAACTCTTCATATTTGGTTGTAGAAATTAAAGTTTTATATGTTATCTGTTTAAGCCACATGTAGGAGTGACCACTTCCGCTTTCGCTATGTAGAGGGGAGATGTAGAGCTTCCGATCTGAGAAAGGAGACTCGTCGTGGGGCTCCACTGGGCTTTCCTTCTTGTCTTTTTTTCTTTTGTCTTCAGATTTCTCACCCTTTCTTCTTTTCTTTGATCTACATTCTCCTTACATCCTTTCTCTTTAAAACTTTTGCCTTTAGTTTTGGTTTTCTTCTCAAATCAAAACCCTAAAAATATTAAATTTCAATATTAAAACTTCACTAATTTTTAGTCTTTTAAGTTTTAATTTTGAACATTTTGTCCTGAGTTTTCTTTTGCATCTTTTTCATCCTTAATTTTGAAAATTACACTCTTTTTTTTTGGTCTTTCCTCTCTAATAAGATATGAGAAATATACATGTGTTAATATACTTAGCTAATTAACTGTTGAAAAACTAAAAATGTTTAGCTTTTATAATTCAGGATTAAAAATATTTAAAATTAGAAGTGTAAAACAAAAATGATATTCAAGCAAAAAATTATAATGTGTGGAGCATTTGATGTTCACGGACGCGTTTCTGTATTGAAATATCTGGTCTATAGCAGTGTTGGACAATGCAATTATACATTTAGATGGCGTCTGGTTGCGGAGAAAACATTCTCCCTCTTTTATCTTTACTAGCAATCTGCACCCTGCTATGCGGCGTGTTGGAAAATTTAAGTCAATTAATAATTTTTTTAAAATAAAACACTTAAAAACAGTGCATAATTAAAACTGGAAAAAAAAAAGTAAAATGAACTGTCCACTAATTCCGCGAAGTACCAAAATCAAATGAAATGATAACTAATAATAGCTAGTATAGTCTTCTCATTTCATAATCTTCTTTTCATAAGAGTAGAAAAAAGGAGAGAAAAGGAACGATAAGAGAGTAGAAAAACGGAGATTAGAAAAGAGTGGATGAGTAAGAGGTGAAAAAGGCAATGGCCTGTGTAAAGCAGAAAAGGGAAAACTTTGAGACACAGCCAAAATGCCAGCTAAAGAAAAGAAGAAAGAATGGTTTAATATAGGCTCAATGATTCGCCCCAAGCCCTAGGGCTTGGGTGAGGCGGTAGTCAGGCTTTTGAACTCTACTATCGTTGTGAATTCCACCAAAAAATGATTTAATGATCACGCGCCTCATTTGAGGGGGTGAAATGTTCACCAATCTGAGGATCTCAATTGTTAACAACTAATTCATATTAACATCTTAACCATTACCTCTGTAAAAAAAAAAAATTGGTTTAATAAGTAAATAACCATTTTACCCCTCACTATTTAATGAAGGAGGTAAGTTACATAAGGAAATTAAAGGGCTTAATTTAATTTTTAGTCTATTAACTATCACTTTGATTTCATTTTAGTTTAGAAACTATGTTTTATTTCTAAGTGGTCTATTAACTTTCAGATTCATTTCAATTTCGTCTAGTTGGTCAAAGATAACGGAAAACTTCCTATTCTGTTAGAGAACAGTTAGTCCTCTGATTATATTTTTTTTAGTTTTTAGTCCTTAAATTTACATTTGTTATAAAAATAACTTTTTTACTTAAAATTATTATTTATAAGCTCTGATACTAGATTTTTATATGTGTTTTCCTATTTCTTTAATTTGGTATCAGAGCTTGAAAGTTAATAGACCACTTAGAAATAATAATTTTAAGTATAAAAATCTGGTATCAGAACTTAAAAATAATAATTTTAAGTATAAAAGTTATTTTTATAATAAATATAAATTTGAGGACTAAAAGATAAAAGAAATATAGTTAAAGGACTAACTATTCTCTAACAAAATAGGAAGTTTTCCGTTATTTTTGACAAAGTAGACGAAATTGAAATGAATCTGAAAGTTAATAAACCACTTAGAAATAAAACATAGTTTTTAGACTAAAATGAAATCAAGGTGATAGTTAATAGATTAAAAATTGAATTAAGCCGAAATTAAAGTGTAAAAAGGTGGTTTTAAATACGGAAAGATGGATGTTAGGGACGGAGGGTTAAGCGCGAAAAAGACCACAATGCCCCTAAACAAACCTGAAACAGCAAGCACATTATTTGAGCCACTTTTGAGGTCAAATGGTAATTACAATGTGAAATTTCAAGTGAGAGAAATGGGCAAGTAGTAAGTGATGAGAGAGATAGGAAGGAGGTTTGAGAAAAAGGAACAAGAGAATGAGTGATGGGAGACATAAGGAGGAACTCAAATTTTTCATATTTAGATTTGATTGTTTAGGATTGTTTATGTATTTTCACTCTTTAAATTACATTAAAAAAATCATAAAAATAAAATTTTTAGTTTCTATTTTACCTTATATAAATTTAAATTAATAAATTTTTCTAGTAAAAAAATTTTCCTCTAATTTTTTCTATATTAACTCATCTAACAACTTTTTTAATATTAATGTTTTATTAAATACAAAAAAAATAATAACTTAATAAAATTTTAAAAAACCTTTATTTTTCATATTATACTTTTTAATTTTTTATACTGTACTTGCTCAGAAAAGTTAGCCTCCAAGTAAATAGACCCTTAATAGGAGCAGAGCAGGTTTGCGTCTGTCTTTGATTGTTGCCATTGAAAAGCTAGCCTGTAATACCCAAAAACTGTTTAAACCAAAAAAATAAAAAAGTCTAATTCACTAGACCTTCAAATTAACTCTGAACCATGACTGCTGGGAAATCTTATGCTTGTAGAAAACGTTGCACATTAACTATGCTAATTAGTTATTTATCATGATTTGCAGCTATCTATATGTAGGTTGAAATGGCCAGAAATTCAATTACCTCAACGGTGATAGTTCCTGATGCTCTTTCAGAAAGCAATTATAAAGAGTGGAGCAATTGCATGAGAAACTATTTGTTAGCTCAAAATCTTTGGAATGTTGTTGAATCAGGCAAATCACCTTCTTCTACTGATGAAGAGGTTACTGCTAATTGGAAGAGAGAGAATGCTGCAGTTCTACACGCCCTTCAAATCTCATGTGCACCGCACATTCACTACTAGAAAACACGACATAAGCGACAAGATTATATTCGACAGTCATATTTTTTACGAAAATGTGTACATAATCGACAAAAAGATTGACGAAGATGTAAAATTGATGATGATAATAGAAACTTCTAGTTTAATCAACAGTCTTCATATTCGGTAACTTTTTTGTCGAATATATAAACATATTCGACAAAAAATTTATGACGAATGTGTTTATTCGTAAAAAATTTCATGTCGAATATGTAAAGCAACATAATCGGCTCCAGTATGTTAGACAACGACATCGTTTTTCTTGATATTCGACAACTTTAGCTGTAGCTGTCGAATATACTAGTTTATATCACCCCCACCTCTCCTTTCTTTCCCATTTCTGCTTCTCCCTCTGTGGTAGTAGATCTGGTTTCTTCTCCGACAAAGCTTGCTGTCGCTGTTCTTCCGTTGCGCCCCCTGTTCTCCGCTCCACGCCGGTGAGTTCGCCCCTCTCTTGGTCAATTGATTGATTTATTTTTGCATTTATTTTCCTTGGATTAATTTACAGTCGGCACATTGTATTGTTCTTTGTTGATCCTTGCCTTTTGGTCCAGCCTCCAGCATCAGTGTTGTCAAAATCACGTTTTATATCGTAAAATCTTAAGATTTTACGATGTTAGTTATGGATGCCGAGTAAAATCGACTTTAAAATTGGATTTTCATAAAATCGGATGATAAAAACGTTAAAGTGCGATTTTTTCGTAAAATCGTTTGAAATCTCGATTTCACTTTCACAAAAATTGAAGAAGAGATTTCCAGAAATTTACCGCAGGGGAGGGAAAGATTTTGGACTGCTACGGTACCGGCGTGTCGCTGTTCACTGCCACTGCTCACATCTCACGCACTGGCGGGAAGGAAATCTATTTGGTGACCCCAATCATGTGGAGCCAGCCTTAAATAGTAGGATTTGGTTGCTGCTGCTCACTTCTCAAGGAAAGAAAGATAGAATTTGTTGCCAGAAAAAGGAGTAGATAAGGATCAGGAAGCGACCTTGAATGTAGAAAAATGGTAGAAAAAGAAAGAAGATGATAAGACGAAGAAGGTGAAAGTGTGAAACAATGGAGGGGTACATCTTTTAGTGGGTAGTATGTTGACACGTGATTGGTGTTGGGTTTTGGGCAGTACTAGCTGTTTTTTGGGCAATGTTACCTGCTAGGGGCACTCGCCTCCTGCACTCTCCAGCCAACACATGCTTCTTTATTGGGCCACCCAAGCTTAATTAGCCATGAATTGATGACCTCTCTGGAAACCAACATGACATGGCCCAATGAAAATGGAAGTATTGGCTGGAGAGTGGTGTTCCAAGCATTGC